AAATATATCCTAGGATATTTTTACCTTCGGTAAATTAACACTGGGATATTTTTACCCCCCGGTAAAAATACAATTTTAGGTGGGTATAAATATACTAGGCTATAATTATCCGCAAGGTAAAAATAAACTAGTCTATATTATATAGTAGTCATATAGTATTTTATAGTATATATTAGGTTTATATTTATCAGTAGATGTAGATAGCCTACTTGGCTAGGAATGTCTTACTTAATAAACAAAAAAAAAAGGTTTATATTTATTTTGAATTGTGTGTAAAAATGAGTTGTTATTTTCCATATTTCAGCATTTAAATATTCTATTTTATTACCTTCCCTTGTTTCAATCTTATAAAAATATTTTTCGTACATTTTTTTCGAAGATTGGTTTCCACAATACATATTTTATAATAAAAAAAAAGTGAGGAATTCGCTGTACTGCATGAAAGGTGTTGAGTGTACCTCGTTAGTAAGGAGTTCACTAACTGAAATGGATGTTTTACATTTTAAATTTGAATTCAATGATAAATTATTGCACACGAAATATAATTCTGGGAAAAAATGGTTTGTTAGGCAATTATTCTAAGAGTGTTACTTATAATATTTATATTGGTATACTTAATTTATATTTATATTAGTATAAATATTAGTAAGGTCGGTTGAAGGTTGAACTAATTTTTGTCAAAAAAAATATCGCATACATATTATTTTATAATAATTCTTATAAAATGATTTCATATAATATTACCACCTAGTTGTTATTAACATATAAATCAACACATACAACCGGATTCGAATAAGATACGGAAGATGTGGGAAGCTCATGCACAAATGGGCCATTGTTCATAATTCGAGCGACAGTGACTGCGGTGACCCTAACCAAATTATATATCGCATACCACACGAGACAACCCAAAGAGAAAATGCAATGTTAAGCTCTGAAATATCTTCAATGGACCTCTGAAGCTATAGAATGGATTAAATATTTAGATTTTAACTTATAAATTCATATAACTATTGCTCTGTTTATTGTTATTATAACTATTATCATTCATCATTCAATTTTATTTATTTAATCTACTTTATTTGTTTCTACTTAAATTATCATTATAATATTACCCCGTTGTCTATGTCTTTACTAATAATTCATCCATACAGTAGAATGGTAAAAATAGAATTGTATAAAAATGACTTAAAACTAATTTAAACATTTTTGAAGTATAATTTTGTATAGTAAATAATAATATAATACGTATAGTAGTGAACAATTGCATGACCCTGCGAATAATACTATATGAATTGCAACAAAATAAATATACTTCATTGATATTTTTCGTTTAAAATGTAATATAATATATACATATTGTAAGAAACCTAATATTAAATTGTCCAGCCTTATTAATTATTAAAAATTCAAATGTTAATTTTAAACGGCAAAATAATTTGCGAATTTTGTAAATTTAAATTTGAAATTTAAACTCTTATAATAAAAAATATAACTGTTTATTTTTGAGTTTGTGTATTTGGTGTAAAATAAACTTATGAGTAACCTTCTACTACCTTCTCTCAAGTTTTTTTTTACTTAAACAATATAAATATAAATAAACAACTAATGGTTTTCACCAAGTTTCTTAAATAAAAAAAAAAATAATAAAAATAAAAAAAATGTAAATAATACAAATAAACGAAACCTAAATTTAAAATGTTTATAGACTATAAAATATTATATTAATTAAAAACATCCAAAATATTTTAAAATATAGGTATATCACGTATTTAAAAATTAAATATAAATACTACATGAAATATTTGATCTGTACAGAACATTCTACAGTTTTTAATTTTTTAATTAAAACAAAAAATTAAAATTCGATTCCGTCAAAAACTGGTTTTGCGTGAAAGATTATTTTTTTCATTAATTCATTTTTGTTTTCCCCGATTATTTTGAAACAGAAAATTGTGACTGACTTTTGATTAAAGCAATGAATCGATCTTTTAAGTCAAAGGAATATTTTATTTTGTAGAACACTTAAAAATCTAAATACCTAAACTAAATTAATTGATATAGTTGTATAATGTTTGGGTACAAAGTGGACATATTTAAATTAATTAAGTCGAACACATTTAATAATTTTCTTCACTTAGGTATTTCAATTTTGAAGAAAAATATGTTAAAAACGATTAGTTTATTTCATTGTACTTAGATATAGATACCATAAGACCTAATAGATACTCAATTGAGTGTAGCATATATTTATATCGTACATTGCATGGTTAAGTATATGTATATTGTAATTTAAACTCAGTTATCACTGATTATAGTAATTAGTGTTAGCAGACAATCAATTTGAGCTATTTTATGAAAAGAGAACGTGATGGCCAGCTGCATGTGTTGTTTCCGTCATAAAAAGTACAACATATCAAATATCAAATTTACTCACGGCAGAATCCATTTTATATTGTTAAATATTATAGCAGATTTAATTATTATAAAATGTTAAGGTAAGAATATTATCACTTATCAGCTGTGTTTTATCGTCAGTTTTTTTTTTTGTATTTTAATTTTAAAATGAGTAATGAGCCTTTTAAAATTATAATATTTTACATACTTATAAAGTTATATAATTCGGTTTAGAATTGAAACACCAAAATACTGACGAAAGAACACAGATAACATTCTTAAATTTAAATAATTTGATAATAGTTAAATTGACTGTATAATATTAAGACTAACAACACAAAATAGATTCTACTAAATAGAAATTGATTTTTTCGTATACCTACATTTGTGAGGCAACGTATGCTGCACACATAATCATCTTAATGGGGCTCAATTTATCGAATTTTGTTTGTCTTTACGATGACGTATTGGAAATATTTGTTCCAATCATGGGCCAAATCAATTTTGCAGTCGCCCCACGAATCAAAATTTTAAGTTTTTATATTTTTTTTAATTTTATGGTTAGGTACTCACATTTCACCAATGCGCAGCATAGTACTATCATAATTCCTATAATATATTCACATCATATGCCAAATACTAACAAAGCCAGAAGCTTTGATCCAAAATGGCAAAATGTGCGTGTTTCGAGCTTATACCAATATTGATAATATCATAATTAAAGTTCAAATAATCATAACAATATACCTACCTACCAATGTTCACATATTGGCGTAGCTGCCAAATGCTAATTATTCACAATATTTGTAAATGAAATACAATATAGACGGATGGATTAAAATTATCTAATTTAACTCAACAGCGGTGACGCACACATGTATAACACATTTATAAATTATAAGTGATGGCAAACACATATAGTAGACACGCCTGTAATATAGGTACTACATGTATATTCGATAAATTATAATTAAACTTTAAATGATGGCACAACACTAATTATCAACAAGGTTGTTGTTTAAATGCTACGTAATTAAACCAATTCAAAAGATACGTGATATTACATGAGAAATGGTAATAAATAATAACTTACTAATAAGTAATAGGTAACCAAGATTAAGTAAAATATAAATCGAGAATTATATTTCACTCTGACGGGTACGCTAAATAACCCTGACTAGATAGGTACTAATTACAAACACACCACAACTAGTTGCATATTTATATAATGGGATATGGGGATATTATCCGTTATCCACCATGGCACCATCTACATACAAATATGGGTAGTTGAAACCATAATATACTTCAAAACAATATGTCAAAATATTGAAAATAAATAGTTATAATTTTAACAAATATTTCATTTTCTTCGATAAAATTTCAATGTCGTCCAGTTAACACATTAATGCGTCAGAACACTATTATATTAAATCATTGTATGAATTAAAGTTTAAACTGTTGTATTTGTCAGTGCATACCTCAAAAAAGATATTAACGTGTGGCCTTTTTTTTTATAGTCATAATATTGCAAATCTCCTGGTAATTTTATATTATTATTGTCTTACCTACGACAATGCTATATTAATACATAATCAATAATACAATATACATGTATGTAAAATGATTACATATAAATATTATCTATTACCTAAAAGTATTATAATAAATGAATAATAAATACAAATTAATATTTTACATTTTTACATTAAGAATAAGCAACAATGTACAGCAGCGAAGTGAAACTGACTAATTTTACTCTCGTGAGTAATTTATAAAATAAAGGTACAGGTGGTAGACGTATATGGTATATATGCCCGGAATTGTGAATTTGCACCTTGTGGATTAGTTAAGCAATAATATCAGTATGCATATACGAACATATAGGGGTTTTAGCCTCAGAATAAATGGTAAATATGTTTTATTTTTTTTAACAAAAAATTAGTAATCATTATTGTTTGTGTCACCACTGATTGGATATATTGTGTATTATGAATATTATACATTGAAAAAAACGATTTTATCTTATTTTATCGGCATAGTTATTGCTTAATTAAGGCTGAAGAGGTTATTCAAATATATTACAAATGTATATAAGAGAAAAGTAACATAATATTTAATTAAACTAATTAATTTGTCTATAGTTACCTACATATTTTATTACATTGTTACAACATCATGTTACTGCAATGATGAATTAAACAACAAAACAATTCTTACCTACTATAAAGTATATTTTATTCTTATTTTAATTCTAAACTTTAAGTTACAACTAAATATTAATAACAATAGGTACAACTGAAGATTAAATGTCCAACGAGGTATTGTAATCATTTTAGTGTGTAATTTTTAATATTATATGTAAATTTATAATAGATACAGTAAAACCTCTAAATACCGGACACTTTTGGTCACTGGTATTTTGTCGGAGGTGTCCGCATTCCCAGAAGTTAATAGTTTGTTCCCAAAAAAATCCACTATTTTGTAGTGTTCGCTGTTTAGAGGTGTCCGTTAGAGGAGATTTCACTGAATGATAATAAAAATAAACAAAGGTTTTATCATTATTTTATATTAATAAGTTCTTTATATAGTACTATTATAAATAGAAAATCATACTTAGTTGGTAGTTGGTATTTTTACGTGCTTATAAAATCTAAACCATTCGCAATATAATTTATTAAATAAATACACCACATTTCAATAAAACACAAGCAATTTAACTATAATTTAATAATTATCAGTTTATAGACCGTCCACCGAAAATACGTCTCTGCGTTTCATCCCATTCAATGCTGACACGCCGCCAATTTTTAGCAGGATTTATGGTCTTATATAATGGCTGTTTTTGGAATTTGCCCTTAACACACAACAAACAAAATGTTTCGCATAAATATATACACATGATATTAAATTTATTCGTTAAAATGTATTGATAATTGCAATTTAGAATTAGATGTGACTAAGTGTATATTATGATATTAGAATAATACGAGCATTACTCGTTGTAAACTAAGTACTATAATACTGTATACATTATTATATAAAAGTAAATTAATTTTTAAAAAAAACATCATATGTTAAGCAAGTTGGTAAGTCAATGTTTAATCATGAATAATGTTGTATTGAATTATGATTTATACTGCTGAAATAGCTTTCAATCATTTTTATATGCAGTATAAGAAAATGGACAATTACATAGATATTTACAAATTGTTCCTATTATTTCATACTTTAGGTAAGCACTATATTATATAATATATTATTACAAAGTCCACATTTATCATGCTAGGAAAAAAATATTTCCTCTCACCAGTATACACATTTTAAAACCAAATTAACTTTTGATTTATAATAAAAGCAACCGACCTTATTATTTTCCGTTTTAAATTCCAATGCAATCTAAAGTGTTATCACTATAATAATTTAAAATTTAGAGGGCGGGAAGGGGGAAATGCACAGAGAGATGAAATTATTTCTGTGCGTTCTGCTGAGAATTAATCGATTTGATTAAACCCGCCGCGGCTAACGTGAGTTCCGATGGAGGGTTGACGTACAGCTATTTCATCCGATAGTATATAACATTAGATATGTTTCATTATAGCTGCAGTGTGATGGTATCGCTGTAAATGGCGCATGCGCAGATTTTTTTCAAACTGCTACTTTAAGGTCTATCCAGCGGGTATTACAGTGGCCACCACTGGATCAATGTGTGAGCAAAACGACCGTTATACTACCCGTATAATACATAAATACAATACAATATTACAAATCTGTGCCGGTATTTGCAAAAGAATAGGTATATATCGTATATATTTGCTTAAAACGCAGTGTCGATTAATTATTACCAACATGCATGATGATGTAAATCATAATAATTAATAATATTCATTTTATTGTGGCGACGAAGGGTAAAAAACGTAATTATTTTACCGGGTCTGCGAATGGTTTTGACGGTATGTCGACGGGAATCGGACGACCCTCTGGCACGCCAGAAGTTAGTTCACTCATTGTTTTTGAAGTGCTGTACACGAAGGTGCACACCATATCCCGCCTGTCAGCCGATACATCATCGAGACTGATCTGAGGACACTTGAAAACTCTGGGTCTCGTCCTCAGAATATTCGATCTTGCATCTGCTTTATCTTTATCGTACTCAATCACTTTCTGTAAAACCATGCAAATTTATAGACTACCTACCATTTACAACGTGTACATAATATAATATTATATTCTATAAACGCATTACACATACGACCTTTTGTGCGTTTTGAGTTCGGGCCGATTTTCTTCCATATATACGTGTATATAAGAGCGTAGCAACACTACATGATAGTGGTTAACCCAAGAATAAATAACTATGTAGATTGTAGATAAAGGTTTAATCCTGCGCATATTGACGGAAACGGTATTCTACCTACTATTATTTAATATTTTATACTAAAATACATCACAAAATCGCATTTATATGCATAAACGACGTAATAGTAGATGCAACTTAAATATGTTTATTTTTACCTATAAAATTTGTTTATTTTAATATTATTTTATTAATAATCAGTTATAAAGAGGAGAAAAATGGTTCTACGTTGGCAATCCGCATCATATCCTTGTAGGGGGCTCATTGGCAACACAGCTTGTGGTAACAGAGAATATTAGTACGGATACCTAGTTATTGCATGATGAAAAAAAAAGAATAATTTAATTTGCAAATATTTTCCCGTGTATAAGTTAGTCAGATACAATGGTGGTCTACGAGGCCAAATCCATCCTTTCGATACTATCTCAAGGATTCTTTCTCGCTTATATAATAGCAGACAATCAAGAAGGATTTTGTTGGCTACGTTTCTCTTATTGGCAACTGAACTCTAGCAAAGTCAATTCAAACTAGTGTTGGCGTTGTGCATGTGTGCGTTTCTCGGGTAACCGATAACATTTCATAAGGAACCGAAAATAATTATAAAAAAAGGTTTCTGCAATAAAAAAATGCGCTGTTTCCGTTATGGTGGGTTTGAAATGTTTAAATACAACATGCATACTTGGAATGATACGTACTTCTGTACTAGATAACCCAAATCAGAGTGCCTGCCAAATGATAACAGATTTCGTGACTTCTCCAAGAATAAAAAAATCATATTTTGTAGTTTAATATTGAAACAACGTATGAATATCATACTTTTGGATTGTTTAATTTTGTCAACAGATTCAATTTTTGAGTAAATAATATTTTCCATTCCTCATTTAATACAAAGTATTTATTTAATTCTGGAAAATTGCACATCTCATCCACAAATGTATGAAAATACACAAAAGTGTTCTATGAAGTGAAATTGCTAAAAAATAATTTCATTATTTATCCTACGTGCTTTTAAATAATATATCTCTACCTAGAACATAAAGATACTATTGGTATTTTGTGTTAGTCAAAGCAATATATAATATTATAATATGGACCATATTACATTGCATTACGTTATATTTAATAATAATCATATATTAAAATGTGTAAGACAGGATTCAGATATGTGGAGACTCCGAAAGACCCATAAATACTTACTTATAAACTTGCTTAGATTGGATAATTCATTTTTCGTTTTTTAATATTATTAGTATACAATAAATTATCTGCGAAATTCGATGAAATTGATATAATTTATTACACGCCAATCGAAACTCTGTGGTGTTGATTTACGGTAACCCTAATTTAAAATAACAAGATAAATACAGTTGGTGAAACCTCGAAGTTAATAATTCGAAGTGAATTCGATTCCCTTGAAATAATATACGTTCAAACTCAATAAAAATGTAATCACGGCAGATACAGCACTATGACCAAAGTGTTTCGAAGAATATAATATCGGAAATGGCCTTAGACCACGCGATATATCTTGTTTTATCTGTATGTCTCACGCGATGAAATCGTTCAACTCCTAAATCTGTAGACTATAACTCTGTAATTGAACCTGAATGGGATCGTCATGGACTTAAAAAAAAATCAAAACAAAACGTTATCTCTATTTACTCAATAGTTTTTAAGAAAATAATCGTAATTTATAACTTTTGTAAATTGTTAAATAAAAGTATCTACGTTTAACATTTGATAGCTTATTCAAAACGCATTTAAATTGAATGCTTGTCTATTGAAAAAAAGAAAAAACCAGTGGGTATTATGATAATATGTAAAACCTAATATTGTTTGCTTAAAATGTCATAGATTTTAAGTTGCGATTCTGTCAAGTGAAACAAAAAATATAAAACAAATCCATCACATCACTTTCGTAACCAAATGTTTTTAATAGTAAATAGGTAAGTATACCGAACTTAATTTAATTACATGTTAAAATATACACTCATCGAGATTAATAAATATTAAAATATACAAAATTTGTATATTTAATGGTAAATTTCTTTTAACCTATATTATATATAACAACATTTTGATAATATTGTATTCAAGACTAATCAGTAATCACTGTAGCTCGTACTGATCACAAGAATAATTAATATTATTTATCAATAGATTTTTTATTTCAATTTTAAGTATAATAATTGCATACAAATTACAGTTATAAAAATGAAAATCATATCTTTATAACTAGTATTTAAATGATTCTGAACTCAATCGCATAAATAAGAATAATGCCCTAGGTCCTAAGTCTAATCTTTGATGCATTTCTATCATTTAATGAACATTATTTAAATATTAAAAACAAAGCTTCTTTTATGCTAGGTTTTATAAATCAAAGCTGTAAAAGTTTTAATAATCCATATGCATTAAAATCACTCTATTGCCCATATAGTCATATGTACGGTCAATTTTGAATTGCAGCTCTATAGGTTGGTCACCTAGTAGAGTAGGCCCAATTCAAACAATAAAATCGATACATAATCTTTTTTGAAACTTTCGTCTTTTAACTGTGACATTCAACCTCAACCTCACTTGTCTTAACAGCCACTATTATATCCATGAAATCGTTGAAGACACATAGGAAAATGTTAGATCTCTGTTTCATTTTTAATCTACTTAATGGAGAAGTTTATTGTCCAGAACTACTTTCAAGCTTGAGCTTTCTGGTTCCTAATCGTTGTAGTATAGACAACTAAGCACTTTTTATGTAGGTACCATTCCAGTCTACCAATTATGGCCGAAATTGCCCTATGAATAGAGGTATGGAATTCGTATATTGATTTATTTTCAGGTTTAACTATTGATATATTTAATGTATATTTTAATAATTTAATAAAATAGAATATAAGAAATAACCTAGAACATATGATTAAATGTTTTAGTACTTATAATTTTGAGCTAAATTTGAAACAATTTATTTTATTTTGTAAAAATAAACAGAAGATTAAATTAATTTTAATCTTTACCTAAGGGATAGTGTAGAGCTACATAACCGAACATGATGGCTTTTGTAAAAGTAAGATATTTAAATATGTAACAAAATACATTTGAAAAAGGTACAATAGGTTGTACTCTATAATACAATAAACATAAAACTTAGAAAATATTACAATGCGATTGGATTATGTAAGTTAGATAAATAGATAGATGGATGGGAATAGATTTGGACACTAGAGGCAGACCTAGATGTTTCTTAATGGCCAAAAGCTACAACATGAGAATATTAAGGAGATATTAAACCAAGCGACGACGGTGGCGTTAATTAATTAAAATTTTCAATTAATTGTTAAATACGTAATTTGGTGTCAGCACGTACCTATATTAAATAATTATACAACTGCGGCAGTCAGTGCATTCTAGTTGAGTAACTTACCTGACAGTTACGTTTCTCGGATTATTATAATATTATATGTTTGGAATACCTCGGAGGGATAATGATTGATAGGTTGCTGGCTACTCAAAATAGGTTTCGGATGGCAATCGAAATCAAAAGGCAATCTTTGTGAGTACGGTATCGTTTTGAGTGTCTCTACGTTTTGAAACGACTGTGGTGGCAGAAAATGTGAATGTTCTGCTACGGCTTTGAATTCGTATCGGTCCCAGTCAAAAATCCGCTGTCTCTCCGCCAAGAAAGGCCATGTAAAATCCGAACGATTAGTCGTATCGAAAGAATTTGTCATCTGAAATTTGTGTAAGTAACGTATCAATAAATTATATATATTTAATATGCATAAGAATTACTTCTGATAATAATGTTACTTTCACGACGATACCAAACACGTCATCGAATCTGTAGGTAGTCGACACGACCCAATAAACAATGTTGTTGTTGTGCATCATACGTAAGTATACGATATTTATAACGATTCTCAGGCTAGTACTCACCTGTCAGTGGTAAACAGTTCTGTGATTTCGGAACTTGTTTTATGCATAATTATCTTTTCATCCGATTTAACTGTAAATGCACTCTTTAAATTCTTGCAACGGTGTTCATTAGTTTATAACATAAGCCAATGAATAAGCCACTTCCACAGGTGAGAGTGATTGCGATTTGCAAGAGTAATTGAAAAATTATACAACCAAAACGATATTACAATATTATTATGTACACACATAAATGTATAAAACGCATAAAAATGCTCTTCTTGGAATCTACGGAGCGAAAATACAAACAAGAATATTACACACTATAATTACAAAACAGCGGTTCTTGATTTTATATTTATTTTTTTCATTTAACATCTCCTTTGCTCCTGATCAAAATAGATACTAATATTCTATTTAAAATACGAGTATATACATATATAATAAATATTTTACGATATGTTTTAATGAATGTAAAAACCTCTTTTTATTAATTTTTTTATTCAATCAGGGATTACAGTTTAATTGGACTCTGTCAATACTCAGAAAATGTACCGTTTACAAATTTTTAATCGCAAATATAACATTCCTTATTTTTTTATTTTTTATAAAAAATACAATGTTGTAAACAATCTCGACATGTTTTATGAATTTTCAGCAACTTTTTCATGTACACTGTACTGTTTTTCTCAAAACTTATAAAAAAAAAAGGTTAATTTAATTTGATCAAATACCACGATAGTACACAAATCACAATAATATAAATAATATTATATTATTAAAAAATTTTCAAAACTAAAAATATATGTTCATTTTATAAACATCAATAGCATAAACTTATGTGAAGCATTAGAATTCATTCTAAATTATTGAATATGGTAAAACAGTAAAATTCATAACATATAATTCAGAAAAAAATATTGAACAAGTCTTACCAGGCCTCACAGCCAGTTAATCTTAAAAAGTAGGAAAAATCAAGTAAAGACAAACCCATAAAATAAATGTATATTGTCCAAATTTTATTTTTTATCAATATATTATTATACGCCCTATTTAATGTAAAAAATAAATACGTTATATATTCAGGTTTAATTTGTACTAAAATATAGGTATTTACTTCAACGATGCATTTAAATACAAATTGAATTGAAAAATCTTAAGTTTTCTTGCATTTTTATTAACACACATTATTTTTCATAGATAGTTAAATCTTTACTTTATCATTTATACGAGTTACTCTCAGCACTTTATTACTTTGGTCGTTACTATTTCAATGTGACACTAGCTTAGTAATTAATATTAAAAAAAAATTGTTATTATGTATTAAAGTATTTACAAAAACATTTTTATTTCGATGAGCTTTCTAAAACAAACTGATATGATATTGCAGGTACCTGGTACACGTATATTACATTATTATAATTAAACGTAGCGTACTATAAATATGCTATTTTTAGTTTTAGAAATTCTTTTATTACTGTACACAATATGTTAAATAATGTAATGCATGTATTTTGATGTTATATATTGTATTACAATGCATTTTTGACCTTGTATTAATGTAGTATACGTTTTCCCTCACTCGTTACATTTTTAAGTACCTATCAAATACTAAGAATGGTACAAAATATGTTTTACAAATTATAACCGAAATGTAGAATTATTTTTTTCTAACCTTACACTTATAAGTTATAAGTTTGAGGTGGATATTATGGACTAGTTGAGTCTACGAGTTAATTATTATTATTGATTTTTTTTAACAAAGCTTTACCTATTTCATATTTGCGGAGCTATAGCATAAGATACTAAGCTTATAGTGGCCTAAATGTATAGTTTATATTTGAATGCGAGTATTTATTTTCTCATCAGTTGGTTGCTTGTTCCACCATTGGGTTAACTTGTTGGTATTTTATAAAACATAAATACGGTGCATTTCAATAAAACAATATTTTGATCACACGGCGTTATAGATAGGCAAATCGGGTACATCAATCACTGTCGTAAATTAATTTTTCCAATAGAATTTTTTCTCGGAAATATGGTATTTTTCCAATGCTTATAAAATATATTCAACACAGTAAAATACGATATAAGTGAATATGTATAAGTTAAGTAAAATTAAAATTGTATAGCATACTATTTTAAGTACCTATATAGGTGTTATTATTACTACAGTTTCAAACAAGCTAAAACTGGTTGAGTCTAAATTCCTTTCTTCTGAGTTCTGACTGTGTGACATAGATCATCATGTTGCTTCCATTATCCACTGAGTGGTATTGCATAGATCATAGGTTGAACACTGACCTATTCTAGTTAAACCAATTGAAAAAAAAATGTGTAAATAATAATTTTACTGAAAAGACTGCTTGACATAATACAATGTTTTTAAATCTATGTTAATATAAATCGCTTCTTCATTACAATATAGTATATCATTAATAGTACAATGAACAAGATAGATAAATAATATGTTCATTGTTTATTGATTGATTTATTACAACCAAAAATAATAAAATATTTATTTCGTGAAATCGATTCATCAATGATTTACCACAATGAATTTGGTGTGATTCACTAAACATTCAGATTTTGATTTCCTATGTTTTTAAGTATACTTATAAGTTATAAATCTGTAAGGCCATATTTTAAAATACTTCAAATTCATACACAATTTAAGAAGTATTTTGTGACGCTACAAACTTTTTTCCAAATGAAAACTAATATTTTTTGAAAATGTTGATGCTTAATAATATATTAAATGTAAATTAAAATGAGTGGTTTCTGAGTTATTAAACTGTAAATAATACAAATAATAGATAGTTTTGTATAACATACACAATAAGTGTAATATATGTATATTGTATAATGTAGTATTTCTAGTCCAGTACCTATTATACTTTGTCAATTTTTACAAATTTACTATGCGATTTCAATAAATATATTTTATCGATATTTATATAGTATATATTTATATTTTCCACGCGATACAGCTTCAATTACATAACAACTCCATGTATTGAAAATTATGGTCGTTACTCTTTAACCACACTTAGAAATTCCAAAAATAGGAGTTTTAATAAATGCATTATTAAAGGCATTACAATATAACAATCACAGATAAAAAAAAATATTTCCCTCGTTTATTTTATAAAGCTTTCTATCATACATATTCTATTATTTAATTCAAATAAAAGTGTCATCAATGGGTGATTTCCAGTATAGCATCATACGCACGATTTTAGTTCAGTTAGGGATTCACACTTTTACCTAAGATTAATAACAATTCCATAGGTGAGGGAGGTCCAATTCAACCTCATTTACATTATTTTTTGGTAAATAGTAATTAAATAGTTGGTTAAAACTTAAAACAAATTATAGAGTTGGTCTACGTCTAAATTTAGAGTATTTAATCTGATCGATGGTCAGCTATTTCAGGCTGTAATAAACGGAGTAATAATCACTATGGTAGAGATTTATCAATGTTCTTAACAAACCAAAAAAGACTGACTTTATGACTCTCGATATTTTTTCATTGCCATTTTACAATTTATTTTATATCTATTAAAAATGGTCCACGATTAATCTACTCTGTGTATTAATATTATAGTGGTAAATAAGATTTTATTTTGTAAAAGTAAGAAATTTCAGAGGAGGTTAGGTTAGGACCCTAGAACCCTATTCCTGCATACGCCACTGGAGGCTTCTTTCCTCAAATAATATACCTAACTCATGTTCTATTATATTCTTAACCCACATATACTTATTAAATCTACGTTATAGGTTATATATTTTCTCCTAAAAATAAAAAAAATTATTTAATTAAAGCTTAAATAATTCAATTTTTAATAAAAATAAAAATTGTATAACAAATTCACTGAATAAAGTTTATTTTTTCTTTAAACTCTAATTAATTTCATATTTGATATCAATTAATTTATTATTTTATCTACATTTAAAGAAAGTAACTACATTTGTTATTCTTTCTCTTCTTCCAACATTTTTCGAATGTCTAATTTATTCATGAAATAATAACTACATTGTCTGCCTTTCTGTAAATTATAAAAAAATATTTAATTAATGAAATTGCATAGCGTTTAAAAATGATGTGACAAATACCATTTAAGTCAATACAAATATAAAAAAATTAGTCGTCTCTGGGAAAGCTATTTATGAAAATCAAAAGAACACTATACTTTCATTAATTGAATTAATATAATATTACATTGTTATTAAATTATTTAGTTTAAGACCATTTTTAAACTAAATAAATATTCGTTACAAAATTAATTTGATTTTTGATGACGTAGATTTTATAATTTGATTTATACATACCAGGTCTTTAGCTATACGATTGGCCCCACTTCCTATTAAAATTGTACTCATTGTTTCCACTTGATCTACAGACATTGCGTAATGTAGTGCGGTTCGTTCAATCTATAAAAAATAACATAATATACATTAGGTATATAAACACAATTATATACTTACAGTGATCGATTAAATTTTCCCTCCCTATAAAGAACTCTTATTTTGTCAAAATTGAACTTTGAATTAATATAAAAATATTTTTGATAAAACACCTAGAGCGTTGAAATAATCTAGTGGGGGTTGGGGAGCTAAACGAATGTCATCCGCAGCTCTCTATTATTTTTTAAGAGAATCCTACACCAACGTGTGTTGTTTTCGTCATGTAAACGTATGACATAACAAATTTGTGTTCAGCCGTAAATTCCCTGTAGTACCTAACCTAATTTCTAAAGGTTACGTATAATGAGTGAATTGACCTATTACCAAAATTAAAGCCAAGAACGTTATCATCTATATTTTTACATGTTTTTGCGATGTTTTAATTTTTAAGCAATTTTTTTAAGTATGTAAAACATTACAGAACATTATCAGAACTAACTTACAAATTAAAATATCATACACAACCCATGTCAAAACACAGATAATTTTCTTACTTTTAAGTTTAGTAACTAAATTAGAACTATTGATCACAAATTGGTTATCTATGTTATACGTTTATAAGACTGAGACAACATATTTTATAAGTGTGGCGTCTTCTTAATAAAAACATGATTACACATTTTACTAAAACAGTACAATT